CAGTTATCACTTTTTTACCTAAGGGGTTGATTTTATTTGAACCCATCCTTGGGGGGATGGGAGGATTCAAGTGAGAACAGATTTGAAAAGTTTGTTATAATCATAAAATTGATCGACCCTTGTGATTTTTGACTAAAACCATCAACTATTCATAAACCGTTATGAGTGGCTTAGGTCAGTCCTCACTTTTTACATGACGGGGTTGATCTCATTTTAACCCCCCTATATGTGTGTATGTGTGTGTGTGGGCACACTTCTGTATAAGCCACTCACTGGAGAGAATTATGCATCAATCAAAGTTGTCAATCTAGAAAGATCTAACAGATCTGAAGCGATTAGTTAGAGAAAACAATGCAATGACATTTTTGTAAGTAACTCAAATTTTAAAGTGCAACAAAAAAAGCTACAAAATGCATCTATTAAAGAATAATGCAATGATATTTTTATAAATAACTCAACCTTTCTTTAGAGGTGCAGACAATTCAACTATTGGATTAGTCATTGTGTCCGATAGTGGAAACCTTGAGAACAACCTAAAAGATAACTTAAACTTTAAAGTGTAACTAATTACACCATAAAGTGCAACTTTCAACATTGTAGAATGCAACTAAGTAAAACTACATTATGGATCTATTCAATGCACTTATACATATTCGGGTTGCACTCTATAGTTTTATTTATTTATTATTTATTAATTACACTTTAAAGTTTAAGTTATTTACTAAAATTTAACCACATTATTTTTCCGTCTTGCTTTAGAGCAGTTAAATCTACCTAGATTAACGACTCTGAGTGGTTCTTAGTTTTCTCTTTTGGTAGAGTTTTATTGTTTATTTTTATCTAATTTGTGTGTGTGTGTGTGTATATAGGGCTGAGTTCACATGAGAACAATGCCTCTTATGAAAAATGCGGACTAATGTTAATCGTTGATTTGAAATTATTAACGACTCTAAAGAAAAAAAAAATATAGTAGTATGTATTTTGGTTAATATTTTAAACTTTTTTTTTTCAAAGGTAAAAGTGCTGACGACAAAGTGTATCTAGTATTACTATAATGGGCACCCAATAATATAATATATAAAAGTGTAATTATTTTGAGTGTATTTTTACATATTGTTTTTTGGTGATAGCCACACATTGTGGTCCGGGTCTTTCTCTGTTCGTTTAACGGTCCAAGTCCACCCGGTTCACTTCGGAAGGCACAGAAGCTGGCCCAAAGGGAATCGTCACTTGTGGGAATCGAACCCGGATTATCCCAAAATTTTCCCCCACAAAGAGAACTCATTTGCCACTTGAGCTACCCTGTTGGGTTATTTTTACATATTGTTGAATATACTTGTAGAGTCACTGACGTGGAGTGCACATCTACGTGTCATTAAATGCACTACTTATAGTTTAATCCGGTGCATTTTGCAATATAATTTTTGCATGCTACACTTATTGTGGAAAAAGTTGTAATATTTCTCAAATTATCACCGTAATTTTCCTTTACTTTAGAGACATTGATCATCCAAGATTATTAGTTACCAATTTGTACAGGAGGTACTGTTCTCATCTAATCCTAAACCTACACACAATATTATTATATAGATTAAAAAATATTGATTTGGCTCTCTCAAAATTGTATAAAAGAGTTCTGTTAGTAATATAATTCAATAATTTAACCCAAATTCATAAGCACAAATAAAACACCTATATTAATACGTCCAATTAAAAAAAATTCAATAATTTAACCCAAATTCATAAGCACAAATAAAACACCTATATTAATACGTCCAATTAAAAAAAAAAAAAAAAAACTCAAAAAATCCAAAATAGAAAAGAGACCTTAAGTTCTCTAAAACTCACAACCCTTCAAATCATCAATGTAGATTAACAAAAGTCTAAAATTTTAAAAGTGAATTTTTTTAATAATTTGAACCCTTCAAACAAGAAACCATTTTTTTTTATTTTTTATTTTTTTATTTTAAATTAAAAATTTATTCTGAAACATTTTGGACGAGTTTTCAATGAAAGGTTGGAGAAAACTGAAAACAATCCCATGGGAAGGGAAAGCTACCAAAAAGGAATTTAAACTAGAAATTAGTTAATATAAGTTTTTGACAAACTTTAACTAATATCTTTATTTATTAATGCTTATATATGAATAGTGAATTGATAATTATAATATATTAATTGCCTATAACTCTTTAAGGGGTGTATCTAATCATGACTTTTGTAGATCAACTTTTAAAGACTTTTAAAATAATAGATTTTAATAAACTTTGATTGACTTTCATAGAATCATTCAAAACCATTTAAAATTAAACTTTGTAAGACTCTAAAAAGTCTATAAAAAACATTCATAAAGTTTTATCAACTTTTTTATTTTAAAAAGTCTACAAAAGTCATTGAAATTGTAAATTACATAAATCCTTACAAACATTCAATGATTTGATTCTTATCATTTATAATTTTCTTACAAAACATGTTATAATATATATATCATAAAATTATTTTTATTATATAGTTCTTCACCCACATCAACATTCTCAACAATATTATTTTTATCCATAGTATGGTGAGACTTATTATATGCTAATTACTTATATATTATTAATAAGCATCAACAAAAAAAGAAAATATTATTTCATAATAAATTCATAACAATGTTGAAAACTAAAATTTATATTTGTTGCGAACAGTAGTTCGCTATTCGTAGTAACCTGTTGTTAAAAAAATATTACGAATATAACTATAAAAATCAAAATATATAAGTATTTATATGAATATTATAAAACATATAGTAAAAGTTGACGGTAATAGATGAAAAATTTGTTTTGTTAATATATTTAGGGAGAATTAGAGAAAGTTTAGAAGTTATGGAGAAAAATTCGTAGAGAAAGTTTAGAAGTTAGGGATTAAAAAATCGTAAAAAAAAAAAAACAAAAAAAAAAAAACAAAATAAACAAGCAATAATGAAGTAAGATTAAAAATTATTTCAAATTTTTAGAGGAAGATTGTAAAGTTTAGGAGAGAGAGACAAAATGGGTATAGTTTAGGTATGAAGAATATATAGGATAATGAAGAAAAAATAATTTATTGAATTTAAGCATAAGGTTTATAAAGTTTGACAACAGAAAATAGAGTTGAAATAGAGAGAAAACATTCAGAGTTGGTAGAAAGAAAATTTTGAAATATTGGAGTTGATGGTTGGATTTCAACTATTTATATTTGAGAAGGAAAAGTCTAGAAAAGTCCTAAAATTAAAAAGTCTACAAAAGTTTATAACTTTTTAAATACCGCATGACTTTTAAAAACTCTTTAAAAGTCTTAATCGAATACCACTCGACTTTTAAAGACTATTTTAAAATCTTGATTGAATACCGCCTGACTTTTAAAGACTCCCTAAAAGTTTAAATTGAATACCTCCAAACTTTTAAAGTTCATAAAAGTCGTTAAAAGTCTATGAAAGTCATTATTGAATACACCCCCTAAAAGTTTATGTGAGTGAGATACTGTGACTTTTTTTTTTTTTTTTTTTTTTTTGGAACATGACTACATGAGATAGTGTGACTAATTATATATAAATATAATTAAATATGTAGAATTTCAAACTCCACCACAACAAAATCTTTGTTGGATAGAATTTAGAAGATCAAATCTAGCATCCTGTTGTTATCAAAATGTAACGCTAACAACTATAAAAATATAAGAAATAAATTTGTGCATTTGTTACTAGATATAATTTTTGGTATAGTAATAAATATTTAATTATGGTAATTGATATCAAAATAGGTCATGATTATTCATAATGAATTTATTAGTTAGCGTTTCCTATAGTTTCTTATTTTATTTATTTATTTACTTATTTATCATTCATTATGGTTTGGTCTAGCAAAAGCATTTTGTTGACTAGGAAAATCATAGGTCAACTTTCAATTAAGACGTGGATCATGCACTTTACAAGTTTTATTATTTGAAATTCAATAATTAATTAATTCTCTTATGTCCTGGCCGGCCTACAGTCAACAAATATTCAAATAATAGCTTAGGGCTTAGGTTTCCTTTTAAAAATAAATAAATCTTTAGGCTTAGATTCAAGTTCTAACAATGCGTAATTAAGTACTCGCATGTTGTTTTCAAAAAAAAAAAAAAAAAGGTACTCGCATGTTGTGACAATGATTATCTTTCTTTTGTGCCAATAACTTTTGTCCGTTTCAATATATATATATATATATATATATATATATATATATATATATATATATATAGAGAGAGAGAGAGAGAGAGAGAGCAAACCAATGTATAATAATTTTAAATATAATGTAATTGATACGGATAAAAGACGACACGCCCATCCTTTTAGTATTATTTCTTAAAATGAATGGTTCATGGTTTAAATACTAAAAAGTTAGAAAATGCTCTCTAGTTTGAACTCGCCGGAAAATCGAGGAAGAGCCGTGTCGACGGCAACATGATCGGCGGAGGTCCAGGATCTCCTGGAAAGAAGCACAAAGAAACCAAAAACTAACGGTAAATCCCGGACGCCAGAAGAGGAACAAGTCGTGATGGAAGGGATCGAGCAATCAAGTGGTGGAAACGATCAAGTGCCATCTCCCGAAAGCCACCATTTGAATGCAACACCAGGACTCAATGAAGCGGAGATGCATCAAGTCCCTGGGACTGAGACAAATGAAAGAAGAGATCCAACTGCAGGTCTTGATTCGGAAAACAACCAGGCAGATCCATCCATGCAGAAACCAAAGGCCGTATCCTTCAGAGACATGCTGGCAGGAGGTACACCCATTGAGAAGGAACCAGAATATCTGGACTCAGATGATGATGAAGTCGACCTAGATGAAGATCCGGAATGCCCAGAGATTCCCCTAACGAGAGAAGACAAGATCAGAATGAGAAAACATTAGCGCCAATCCTTAATAGTCAAGGTTTTAGGTAGAAAAGTGGGCTACACCTACCTAACCAGAAGACTCAATGCAATATGGAAGCCAAAATCGAGGATGGAGGTGGTGGCACTGGACCATATCTACTATGTGGTTCGATTCTGGTCTGCTGATGACTATGAATTTGCTAAATACGGAGGGCCATGGTCGGTAATGGAACACTACTTAAACGTCCAGGATTGGAAGCCAAATTTCGACCCTAAGTCGGCCAAGACGGAACGTGTTCTAGTTTGGGTGAGGTTTCCCGATCCCCCGATGGAGTACTATGACTACCCTTACCTTATGAAACTGGGAAGGAAAATCGGTGAACCGAAATATGTTGATGAAGCCACAAGTGTAGGATCAAAGGGGCGTTTCGCGAGAATGTGTGTGGAAGTTGACCTCACTAAACCGCTCCTCTCCAAGTTCACAGCCAAGATGAAGGTTCAAAGGATAGAATATGAAGGAATGTATCAAATTTGCTTCCACTGTGGTGTCTATGGCCATGCGGCAGAAGCCTGTCCCTGGAAATCGGCGGAGGAAGGACACACGACGGCGGAAACAGGTGGTGCTCAGGGAAACGACAGACGACAACCAAATAAGGAAAGCGATCAACCGGTGAGCATTAGACTGGAAATCGTGGAGAGATATGGTACGTGGATGATTGCGCCCAAAAAAACTTACAGGCAAAATCGCGCAAATAATGGAAAGAATAAAGATCAGAAAGGAAAGGATTGGGATGGAGCTAAAGGTCGTAACGGCTCTATGAGTGGAGAGAAGGGGTCGCAATATGGAAAGAATAAAGGGAAAGAAGCAGTAGATCAAGGAATTGGTATAACATCTATGTTTACGGCTTTGAGTGAGGATAATGTGGAAGAAACAATTGAACGACTGAGGAATCTAATGAGGGGAATCAAGTCGAAAATCAAGTAAGGAAAGTCGGGAAATCAGTAGGGAAAAATAAGGAAAAAGCGAGAAGACCCAATGTGCAAATCTCTGAAAAACAAATAACAAGCGAAAAAATGTGCGTCCATGGGCCATGCAAGTTACGCGCAAAAACCATGCAGCTGCTTCAACTAAAGCTAGTACTTCCAAGAGGCCTAGCAAGACCAACCAAGCAGCTGCGGGAGACAGACATACAGTAGCAAGGGGTAACTTATTGGAGAAAACGTCGGTTAGTACCACTTACTTAAACAATGCCGATATCCCCCCTCAACTGACAAGTATGGAGGAGGATATTCTGGAACACCATGGTGATCCTCCCGACCTCAATGATGAGCTAATGGAGGAAAAACCATTGCATGAGTGTGCAGAGGACAATGGCCGTGGTGGCACCTCGGAAGAGGTCGCTGCCTAGGTCTTTTTGTCTCGTGCTTGTTTGTTTGTTTTGAGTTTTTGTGTGTTTGTTGCCCTTGTTGTGTCTTCCTAGGAAGATTATAACTTGGAATTGTCAAGGTGCAGCTTCTAAGAGATTTATTAGAGTTGCCCTAACAATCGTTAGGCAATACAAGCCTAATTGTTTTTGTGTCCTTGAACCCAAGTCATCAGGTATAGGGGCGGACGAGACGTGTATTAAACTTGGCTTTGATCAATGGCTTTGCGTAGAAGCTGTGGGGAAGACTGGAGGCATATGGATCCTCTAGAACAACTCTCTTAAGCTGGATGTTCTAAGCACCAACCCCCAGTTCGTTACTTTTGAAATCACGAACAGTAGGAATATGGTGTGGTCCATTGCGGTTGTGTATGCAAGCCCCTTCCATAATCTACGACGCCACTTATGGGCGGATTTAGGAAGAAATCAGCGTGGTTTGGATGAAGCTTGGATTGCTATTGGAGACTTCAACTCAATTACAAACTCTGAAGAAGTCAATTGCCCTGAGAGTTTCAATGAAAGACGAAGTAGAGAGTTTATAGAATGGATAAGCGGAGAGAATCTCATTGATCTAGGCTTCAGCGGTTCGTAGTTCACCTGGAGACATGGAACCACCATCGGAACTTTTAAAGCTTCTCGTCTGGATAGATGCCTGTGTACGGAAGCCTGGATTGACAAGTTCCTGAACGCGGCCATATCGCATTTACCGAACTTAACCTCGGATCACAACTCTGTCCTCCTAAACCTGGAAAATCGGGCCAATAATAATAGGCCGAAGAGATTCTAGTATCAAGCAGCTTGGGGTTTGCATGAAGATTTTGGTAAGATTGTTACTAATACTTGGAGGAGTTCAACCAACACTGGACTTGATTTTGATTCAAAACTAAACCTTATGAAAGAAAACTTAAAGACGTGGAGTAAGGTGGCGATTGGACACTTAGAGAAAAAAAAGGAAACAGACCATTGCCAGGATTGATGGTATCCAAAGAGCCAGAAACTATGGTAAGAAAGGAGGCTTAATAAAACTAGAAGCCAAGTTGAAGACGGAGTTGGATGACATCCTTTATAAAGAGGAGCTTATATGGTTTCAAAGATCACGAGAAGAGTGGATTGCATCCGGGGACCGCAACACTAAATACTATCATGCTATAACGAAGGTCAAAAAAGCAAAAAACCTTGTGTCAAGCTTAAAGGATAGCAGTGGAAACTGGACATCCGACGAGGAGCACATTATGAAAATGTTACAGGAACACTTTCGGGCCCTTTTCATGAGGGAATCATCAACGGCAAATGCAAGGTATGAATGCCCAAACTTAACAATGATTGAACATACTGATGTCTCTATTTTGTGCAGGAATGTCACGAAGGAGGAAATAAAAGCAGCTGTTTTCGAAATGGCCCCTTACAAAGCACCAGGTCCAGACGGATTCCATGCTGGCTTCTACCAAAAAACTTGGAAGGAGATTGAAGGAGATTTAACCGATACTGTCTTGGAAATATTCCATACGGCGAAGCTGCCAAGAGATTGGAACGACACTCTTTTAGCTTTGATTCCAAAAGTGCAATACCCTGAGTTTGTCACCAGTTCAGACCTATTAGTCTCTGTAATGTCAAGTACAAAATTGTTACCAAGATTATCACGAATAGAATGAAGGATATTATGAATCAAGTAGTGGGAGAGGAGCAAAACAGCTTTGTACCACATCGCCAGATCACATATAATATTGTGGTGTACCAGGAACTCCTCCATACCATGAGGATAAAAAGAGGGGGAACAAAGGCGATGGCCCTTAAGATTGATCTAGAGAAAGCTTATGATAGGCTCTCTTGGGACTTCTTGCAGGACACGCTCCAAGGTTTAGGATTAGAGAAACATTGGATTGACATTGTCATGGAGTGTGTTCGGACTCCAAAGCTCGCTATCCTCTGGAAGGGCTCACAACTGGATTGGACACACCCACATGAGGCATCAGACAAGGAGATCCAATCTCCCCCTACCTGTTTGTGCTTTGTATGGAACGTCTGAGCCGGATGATAAAACAAGAAGTAAAGGACAAAAACTGGAAGTGCATTAAACTCTCAAGGTATGGTCCTGAGCTTACTCATCTTTTTTTCGCTGACGATATGATTTTAATTGCAGAAGCCTCCTTAGAGTAAATGAAGGTAATCAAAAATTGCCTCCAGAAGTTTGAGGATGTTTCGGGCCAAAAAGTCAGTGTCCAGAAGTCCCAAATTTACTTTGGGAAAAATGTTGCTCCTAGCCTGGCACAAGCCATCACGCATGAAGCAGGCTTTACTCCACAGAAGACCTGGGGCGGTACCTGGGTGTACCTTCGATCCACAGAAGAGTGACACGAAGCATTTTTGCACCCTTTCTTGAAAAGATCGATGGGAGATTGGAGGGCTGGAAAGGGAAAAACTTGACGCTGGCAGGTCGTATTACTCTGGCCCAAAGTGTCCTAAACACCACACCTTACTATATGATGCAATCTATGCTTCTCCCTAAAGGGGTTTGTGATGCTATTGAGAAGAAAATACGTCAGTTCATCTGGAGGGGTGGCGTGCATCTAGTAAACTGGGACGCCGTCACGAAACCAAAGGACCAAGGAGGCATAGGCCTTAGAAGACTAAAGGAAATGAATCTTGCTTTCCTAACAAAAGTGGGGTGGAGAATTCGCACGGAGAGTCAACATCTATGGGTAAAAGTCATTTTGGGTAAATACATGCATAACAAATCATAGGATAACATTTTTATAAAGAAAACTGAAAGCTCAAACCTTTGGAGAGGGGTTTGTGATGCCTACCCTATTCTTTCCGAAGGAGTAAACAGGAACCACAATAGCAACAATATATATTGGAGGCTAGAACCGAGTGGTTGTTGCTCGGTCGCCACTGCGTACAATGTTGCTCTCAAGTCAAATACCGGAGCTAGTGACCTCGTGTGGGGAAAAATTTGGAAACTAAAGTTACCCAGGAAAATCAACACCTTTGTCTGGCTCCTAAAGCACAACAAATTAATGACGAATGTGGAGCGCAAAAGGAGGGGTTTCACGGCTGATGCACGTTGTGGGAGTTGTCACTCACAAGAGGAGGATATCCTACACTGCCTACGGGATTGCAACGCTGCAAAGGATATATGGGAAGTCTTTCTACCCTCTGGGGCTAAAAAGTGGTTTTATTGTTTGAATTTTGATTCTTGGCTTATACGAAATGTTACAGGTAAATCCAATGGCGGGAGAAAATGTGATTGGCCAATGCAATTTGCGATAATTGCATGGTGGAACTGGAAGTGGCGATGCAATAAAACTTTCAATAATGTTAGCTGGAGCTTAGAAAGGAGATTCAGCTGGATCAAGGAGCAAGTGGAAGCCGTAACTACCGCCTTTGCTCGGCAGAAGATACCCAAAGGAACGGATGCGCAGAAACGTAATATTGAGCCAGGCTGGAATATCTTGAATACGGATGCTTCCTTCTCCCCTTCAAGCCGTATGAACGGTTGTGGGGTAACTAGATGAAGGGCTTTAGTTGCATGATGAGGACTGATAATGCAACAGAGGCAGAACTGTGGGCGATCTACTTGGGGCTAAAATGGGCTTGGAATCAAGGCAACAGGAAGGTCCACATTTTAAGCTATTCAAAACAGGCGGTTGAATGGCTAAATGAGCAACATGTCATTCTTGGTGACTGCGGTACCTTAATCAAATGGTGCAAGGATTGGATAAAGAAAGATTGGTCAATTATCGTGGAACAGATCTCCCGGGAAGAAAATGCATCGGCGGACTGGCTAGCCGGAGAAGCTCCTCGATGGCACTGCGACTTGATGGATTTCCACCACCCTCCGAAGGAAGTTCGCGACATTCTATGTGCGAACACTGGGACTGTTGTGTCCGCTAACATTAGCAACTAGCGTTAGCTGGGTAACCCCCCCTGTTTTCCCAAAAAAATATAATGTAATTGATTGTGTATGTGTGTATATAAAAGCACAAGATTATATTATCTTTCATATATTTTTCTATATATAGATGGGGTAATTTTCATGATGTTGCAGATAAGGACTTCGGTGTTTGACATGATGGGTAGTGCAATGCAACTCCTACCCAGCGCTTTGGTTTCATACATTGCTCGTATTATTAGGACTTCATGTCAAGGGCACACTAAAATTCTTTTTCCTTCTCTCAGTTTTATTGAGAATATATTATATTATTTACCATTTCTTTCATTAGTGGAACTCTTTATATCCTTATAAAAACATATCTTCCAGTATTTTAAATATAATGGATTATTCAATGATAAAAGTCTTCCCAGAATTATTATTCTAATATGGTATTAGCAGACCTAACGAATCCATGCCTGCCAACCCTACCACCAACGCCGCCACCAAGGAAGCTGCACCGTGCCGCCGCCGGAAATACTCTACAGACTGTCCATCACTTTATATCCATTAAACTTACCTTTTCAAACTATTTGTTTTGGAAGAGTCAACTTGTTTTATTTCTCCGTGGTCTAAATTTCAGTGGATGCGTTGATGACATGTTACCGTGTTTGGCTTCATTTATTAAGGCTCCGGATGAGTGTTCCATTGTAGCCGATTTTGCGGCCGAAAATTTGGTCCATCAAGATTATTTTATTTTGTCCATGCTCATCTCGTCTATGTCTGATGAAGTTTTGTATGTTGTAGTGGCACATACAAAATACTTTCACCAAAACCTATTATCATTTCTAAGTATTTAATTTTCATTCCGATTTCGATTCCCATATGAGAACCAAACACAGCCCTAGTTCTATGATGGTCTAGAACCAAATGACCAACAATATATGGTCATGATTATAGAAAGAGTTCATTCCACCAAATTAAAAGTCGCTTGACTATTGAGTTTCTTTAACATTTGGTCACGCTTAGTCCTTGGTTATATTGAGAATCTGTAAGATTAAGCCAATTGTAATCAATTAGTTGGCTAATTACCAAATTAAAAAATAAAGTTGAAATTTTTTTATGTTGGTGACTTGAAACTTTCACGAATTAATCGAAAACAATCAAAATTATATACATATATACTCTACACTTTCAATTTGAATAATTTTCTATTACTTTAGATTAAATGACAATGGTTTCAACATATTGAAATTACAAATTTGCCTTCGAATTTAACATACCACCAACAAACAGAACTGGTATCGGAATACTAAATTTGACAAATTAATTTTCAATAATTTAGAGCTAAATGTGATCCATTTGAAAAATAACGGCCACATCTAAAACAAAAATTCAACAATCAAGAAATCTTCATTCTGTGTCCTCTAGAAATTATATGGAATTGACCAAAGAAAAGATTCAAGTACAAATGCTGGATTAATTAAATGGTAACCGTTGTGCATCACATGAGTAGCGATCATGTATATACATTCATACTATCATTGTCAATTAGTCAACAAAAAGTTTTAATTTTTTTTAAAAAATAAAAATAAAATAATCCGAAAAAACAAATAAAATAGAGTCAGAACTGGCACATAGTTTATAATTTATCCACAACTAAAACCATTAAAAAAAAAAAGGAAAGAAAAACACCGCGTAGAGCCAAAACCAAAAAAAAAAAATAAATAAATAAAAAAAGAAAGTAAAAAAAAATTAAAAAAACTGCTTACGTACTGTATGATATCACCATAATCCGTCCGGCCAAAATTATCCTGTACGTGTACGCTATCTCCACGCTCATTTGAAGTGAAATCGGAACACGCTTTAACGTTAGACGACCATCCCCGTTGACGTTGGAATTCTCAGACATCCTCTGCTCCACTCTCACTTGTATATATATATACTCCAACTTGCCCTAATTTCATTGAAAATATATACCCAATTATATTCCATGCAACCCCAAAAAGTGCCAACTAACCCACTTTCACAATCACCAAATTGAAATCTCACGACACTATTTCTTGATTCTCCGATGGAGCGCAACGAGGAGGCGCCGGCGCCGGCGGTGAAGTACAAGGGAGTGAGGAAGAGGAAATGGGGGAAATGGGTGTCGGAGATACGGCTACCCAACAGCCGGGAGAGGATATGGTTGGGGTCTTACAACACGGCGGAGAAAGCGGCCAGGGCTTTCGACGTCGCCCAGTTTTGCCTGCGCGGCCCCACCGCTCAGCTCAACTTTCCCGACGACCCCCCTGACGTTCCCGGCTGGCAGACGTTCACCCCGCCGGAGATACAAGACGTCGCCGCCCAGTACGGCAGCGACTACGCCCGACCGCCACCTGCGAATATTGCTGCTGTCGGGCAGGAACAGGGAAATAACGAAGAAGAAATAACGCACGTGATGGATTTGGATGACACGTCACCCTCCTCGACCTCCGAAGGTGCGATACAAATGGGAGATATTGATTGGTCGTTTTTTGACGCTCTGGATGGGGCTACTACTTGTAACGATTTTGGTCTATTCTCAGGTGATATCTACATGCCACCACAACCACATCCTTCACCGCCGCCGCCACCACCGCCAGCCACTGATCACGATAATGAAACCCATTTTTCTCACTCATCTTTCTTATGGAACTTCTAGCGTCATATATATATATATACTAGCTCACTCACCTCGCTGCTATCAACAATATAATATAATATAATGCCGAATAACACATACACACAAACAAACAAACATATATATATATATATAAGTGATGCTATAAATATTTTCTGTATTTTACCTAAAAACTTCCCTCTTTGAGGTGACATTATATCACTAGTAGTTACACTAGGTCAACTAATTCATTGGCACTCTGAGGAAAAAGTTTGAAGAGAAATATATATATATATATATATATATATATATATATATATATATATATATATATATATATATATGTGTGTGTGTGTGTGTGTTTGTGTGTGTGCGCGCGCGTCTGCACGTATATACTTTTTAAGTTGTATGGTACAACGCCCGCAGGATATTCTATTCTGTTCGCGGCTGATGTTTTCGGTTTCTTTTTTGTAGTAAAGTTATGTTTTTGCCTGGAAAGGTTTATATATCAATATATGAAATTTTATGGGATAGATTATCCATTCTCTCTTTATAAATTTCTTTTAAAACTCTGCATGTTCTCCATTATGTTGGTACCTAGCCTCGCTCTTATATATATTATATAATGAAACAACATGTTTGGTTATATGCTTATATTATCATGTTTAATATTAATTTTGATATCTCAATTATTGTGCTTTTACTGTTCTGTGTCTTGAATTTAAAATTGATCAGATTTTGCCTCCAACTATTATTTAAATTTTTTTATATTTAAGTATTAAAAGTGATTAGAATTGGAGAGAAACTAATGAGCCTTTTTTAGTGTCACGTGGTGTATATATATATATATATATATATATATATATATATATATATATAGTACAGTTATGTGTATGGTGATGTGATGCCTTTTTTGTCGCCAATTTTGCATGCATATATATGGATTATATGCTGTTCTTTAAAAAGCGAACTGCAGTCTGCAGCACTTTGGAACATATATACTGTTTTCAACCTTGTAACTAATGGGTTCTCCAAATTGTTCTTTACTCCCATATCTAACGGTGACGTTGGCCGTCAATAAATTCACTACAAAATGGTGTTTTTCTTTAAATACAAAACTTGCATATTTTCGACATACAGTTAATGCCCTTATTAGGTATGGGCACTGCCAACGGTGCCAAGTTGAACCTCCGCAGCAAAAGTGGACAGATCTTTTGTATGCATAAATATTTGGCCTTGCTTACTGCGCTAATGAGTCACTATGATTTATATCCTCCCAATTGTTCTATCATGTCGCAGTGTGAGGTCCCTTGGGATAAATGACTGTAATAGGACAAAAATTGCATTCAATGACAAAAACAAGACGTTTCTAAAGGTGAGACAAAATTAAGAAAAAGATATTAGACATTTGGAAATGCATTTTATGTTAGTACCGATCAAATGTAAGTGGGGCTTGCGTATCTCAAGATACGATTGTGTTTGACCGAGACCGACATAAAACTCATTTTCAAAATTGTCTTTTTTTTCTAATTTTGTCCCACTTTTAGAAACATCATATTTTTGTCCTTGCATGCAATTTTTGTCCAATTATAGTCATTTTCCCGGAGGTTTAACCTTTTGGGAGATGAAGAACAATGCCAAGTTCGACTCTATGTGATAACTACTCATTAATCTTCATGATTTGAGCCGATTAGTTATAAGCAATTTAAGTTAATGTACTTTCTTGTGATTCTTTATTAACTAAGGTCACAAGGTTAGCTTCACTTAAAACTCATATTCAAAATACTAATGATATATGGTTTTCATATAAATCAAAGTGAGTGGCCTTGGCTTTTTTTTTTTTTTCCTAAATCTCTGCAGTTACTCTTATTTTCCCTATAATAATAATACAGGTAAACAATTAGGGAGTAATATACAGTTAACGCTCTTATTTTCCCTCCGATCATTCTTAAACAATTTCTCACTGTTATGTTAATAGCTACATCCGCATTGTATAAATATATTTGCAAGAACACACTTTTATGCAATAATGTTATTTTAAAATCTTAAGTTGCACTACTTAACTATCTCTCTCTAGGGTTTCATTCTAGAGTTCTCTCTCTTTTCCTACTAGGGTTTGCCTAGGGTTTTTTTTCGGAAACAACAGCATTTATCCGGCGATCTTGTTCTCGTCTCTAGCGAACGCCGACGGTGGGAAGCTATGGAACGGCAGCGGGGGTCGGAAACTGATGTACGGGGCAGTGTTCGATGTGAGGGGAGTATGGAACGACAGGTTCATGCGGGTATGCATGGGTGCGGAACTGCTGCGCGAGAGGGAAGCTTGGAGCGTCGTGTATATGCGACGGTGGAGGAGGGGGGAGTTGCTCGGCGGGATGGGGCTGTGGGGCACCAGATGCAGTCGGGAATTGAGGAGGAATTGGTGGAGGGGTATGCGGGTATCTCCTTGCTCGATGAGGAAGAGATGTTGGTACCGGTGGGGGAGAATGTTGCGCCGGTGACGGAGATGCAGGGCCGCACGTGGGTTTTGGTTGGAAGGTTCCTGACGCGTAAGATGGTGAAGCTTGAGTTTATGCGAGAGGTGTTGGCGTCTGTGTGGCAGCCCGTGTGTGGTGTGCAGATTTCTGAGTTGCAACTGAATTTGTTTATGTTTGTTTTCTATCACCAGACGGATTTGCAGCGAGTGATAAATGAGGGACCATGGTCGTTTGATAACCATACATTGGTCTGCCGGCCAGTGGAAGATGGGATGATGCCGAACGATGTGTTGCTTGATTCGGTTGATATGTGGGTCCAGGTCTACGGGCTCCCGATGGGCTATACATCCATGGCCATACAGGAGCAGGTTGGTAATTTTTTGGGGGGTTTCCTGAAGGGTGATGAGAGATTTGATGATCGCCCGTGGAAAACTTTTTATCGAATCCGTGTTAGTATTCCGGTAGATAAACCCTTGCGCCGAAGGATGAAGTTTGCGAAACGGGATAAGTCTTGGTGTTGGGTGACTTTCAAGTATGAAAGATTACACACTTTTTGCTTCTTTTGTGGCTTGCTTGGCCATTCATATAAGTTCTGTTTGCAGGCTCGGAATTCGACTCTCACCTTAGATCAGTATCCTTTTGGGGTGGAGATGAAGGCAGGATTACCTCGCGGTCCTAGGCCGGTGGGTAGTTCGTGGCTAGTTCCGGTTGGGGGTAAGAGGGAGGAGGTGGCCGAGGAGGGGAGTGGGCGGGGTCCTACGGGTGGGGTGTTTGGGGCGGGTTCTACGGTGGAGGGGCGGCCGAGGGATGGGGAAGGGGTAGTGTGTGGACCGAAAAGACGTAGGGAGGAGGGGGTGAGCGTGGATCTTATGGGGAGGGAGGGTGAGGGAGTGGTGGAGAGAGTTGGGGAGGATGTGGCCATGGCAGACATTTCAAAAAACATGTTCTCGGCGGGTTCTGGTTCCCAGACCCGCCCATCCCAATGAGTACTTTGAGCTGGAACTGTCGTGGCTTGGGTGATCCACGAACAGTTCGAGAAGTGCTGGATATGGCATCCAGGAAGAAACCTGATTTTATTTTTCTTATGGAAACGAAAGTGGCTAGAGATCATGCTGAGCGGTTGCGAGTGAAGTTAGGGTTTCAGGGGTTATTCTATGTGGATAATAGGGGACGTAGTGGAGGGTTGGCGCTGTTATGGAAAACGAATGATACAGTGAGTCTAATAGGTTACTCTCGTAACCATGTGGATGTGGAGATACGAATGGACGGTTATGCGCCCTGGAGAATGACTGGTTTTTACGGTTTCCCGGATCGAGGTGATAGAGTGGAGTCTTGGAATCTTTTGAGACACTTGAGTTCTCGGTCTACGCTGCCTCGGGTGGTCTTAGGGGATTTCAATGATCTGCTTTACCAGTATGAGAAAAGGGGACGTTGCAGACACCCGGAATCATTGTTGAGGGGTTTTGGTGAAACACTAGATGATTGTGGTTTGATACAGATCCCTATGATTGGTTATCAGTTTACTTGGGAGAAGGGGGAGGGGACGGAGGATTGGATTGAGGAGAAGTTGGATAGAGTGGTAGCAACAGATGAGTGGCGAGGGGTGGTTGAAGGAGCCCGGGTCTATAATGTTCTGACTAGGAGATCGGATCATTCGGCTCTCTTCCTGGACATACGGCCGGGGGGGGGGGGGGGGGGGGATTCCGTGTGGGTCCGCGACATTTCCGCTTTGAGATGGCCTGGTTGTTGGATGAGGGATGTAGGGAGGTGGTGGAGGAGGCATGGGGACATGGGGTGGACGATTTACAGGCTAGGATAGAAAGGTGTGGTATAAAGCTCCAGAGGTGGGGTGGTGACCGTTTCCATAAATTTGGGAAACGGATTGCTAGTCTCAAGAAACAGCAGTTCAGCTGTCGTGGTCGTGTGAGTCCCGAGGCGTTGGCAGATTTCCGCCGCCTGGAAACTGAGTTAGTGCGACTGGAGAAGCAAGAGGATGTGTTTTGGAGGCAGAGGGCGAAGCAGCATTGGCTTCGTGGGGCGGATGCAAACACTCGTTTCTATCACAGGTATGCTTCTGCCCGAAAACGGAAAAATACTATATTACGCCTTAAGGATGAGTTGGGAGGGTGGGTAGATGGTGATGCTATGAAGGCAGTTATAATGAATTATTTTGATGATATTTTTACTGCTAACCCTGATGTGAGTAATGGAGTGGACTTTTTCGCCTCTATCCCTACTCGTGTTACTCAAACCCATAATGAATGGCTAAATCGGCCGTATGACCCGGGGGAGGTCAAAGATGCGTTGTTTGCTATGTTTCTAGACAAAGCTCCAGGACCGGATGGAATGAATCCGGGTTTTTATCAGAAATTCTGGGACATTGTGGGCCGGATGTGACTAGTTGTGTGCTGCAGTGCTTGAATACAGGGTCCTTGCCTATCGGGCTTAATGAGTCGAATATTGTGCTTATCCCGAAAACGCAATCTCCCGAGATGGTCACGGATTTGCGCCCGATTGCTTTGAGTAATGTTGTCTATAAGATTATTGCCAAGGTAGTTGCTAACCGTATGAAGCCCCTGTTAGGCGATATTATTTCAGTATCGCAGAGTGCATTTATTCCTGGCAGGTTGATTACAGACAATATCCTAATAGCTGCCGAGGTTGGACATTTTCTGAATAGGAAGCAATTGGGGAAGGTGGGGTGGGGAGCTCTGAAGTTAGATATGGCAAAAGCATATGATAAGA